TAAACAGGTGTGGTGATCAGGTGATTTAACTGAGAGAGCTAGCTCAAATAGAAGTTTCCCGCCGACAAATCAAAGATGGTTCTGCTGGCTAGTGCACAGATTGCATCAAATTCAGTTAAAGCAATAGGAATCACAGTAACACATATAGATGAAAAAACAGTTAGCAATTTAAGTAAATCCGATTGATGCTTGGTTCCTGTCTTTAACAGAATCACCTATCTTGGAAAAGTGTGTGGGGTGTGATTAAACTTTTATACATAAGCCAACATACATMACCTTAATGTGTGTTGTGTGATGGTGAATGCAAATCCAAAACAGTATAATAATATGATAGGACAAAATGCAAATTAGAGATGACAGGCTTCTGTTTCATTTAGAATGAACAAAACAGCTAAAATAGACACTGCAAATTTACACCAATTTGATCATGTGCAGACTTGGCAAAAGCTGTCATTGCTTAAACAGAAACTGTTCTTCAAGACCATGCACACTAAAGGCCATGAAGAATTTAGACCAGTTAATGTTTTAGCATGTTATAGGCTGTAATAGACTGTATGTATCGAYGGTATATATGCATTCAGGAATTTGCAATGTTTTAGCATGTTATAGGCTGTTATAAACTGTTATAGGCTGTTAAAAACCGGTTATTGGCTGTTATAGACTGTTAGCATTCAATTGGATATCATTCTTGCATGGGCTAACCATTCTTGACTGTGTCATAAAGAGTTTTTTTCTGAATAACTATAGTACCCGCATCAACTACACATCAAAGATTCACATATGACACAGTTGATCAGCATGCTGTTTCATTTTCAACTCTAAAAGAACTCTACACTTATATCTACCAATCTACATATATATATCAAGTATAATGCAACAATGCTCTGGGGTAAGGCTCCATGTTGACATAGAAACAAGACCACAACTCAACAAATAGAAGTGCTAACCACACATTTGCCAAAAGCATCTTCCAAGTTCCACCAGAGTCAATTAATTATCATTGCTTACTTGACAGGCAACCAACAACTTAGCGAAATAGTATTCACACAACTGTCATGTGATCATAGCAAAGTAAAAATAAATTGGAAGCTCAAAGATTCACATAGGACACAATAGATTTAGAGCTATGTTGGAGCAGATTTAGAACAGGTTGAAATTATGTTAGAATGCATTAGGATGATTGTCATGCTGGGGGGGGCTGTTTCTAGGGTATAATACGGAAAGAGCTATATACATGATAA